CGGGCAGCAGCTGAGTGACCCCGGCTCTCAGAGAGCTGCAGAAAGGCCGTTTTAGAGGCTACAGGTGCTCAATTTGCAGGCCAGGACCCTTCTGGGGGTTAGGAGGTTATCACATGAGGGGGGGTCATGAGTCAGCCCCCCCCCAACCTCTGCCCAGTGTTTGTAACGGTATTAAATATATCAAAAGTGTTTAATTTCTTGGGGGAGGGGAGAGTCACTCTCAGAGGCTCGCCAGGCAAAAGGGACCCCAGACACCAAGTTAGAAACCACGGGCGTAGAGACAGGACCCTTCTGGGGGTTAGGAGGTTATCACATGAGGGGGGGTCATGAGTCAGCCCCCCCCCAACCTCTGCCCAGTGTTTGTAACGGTATTAAATATATCAAAAGTGTTTAATTTCTTGGGGGAGGGGAGAGTCACTCTCAGAGGCTCGCCAGGCAAAAGGGACCCCAGACACCAAGTTAGAAACCACGGGCGTAGAGAGACCTTTGGCCAGAGGCGCCAGAGCAAGCGAGTCGGGCAAAGGGGGAGAGAGCGCAGCCTCCAGCAGAGCGCACGGGACGCCTGTCGGTACCCGAGTCCGGCCACAGCCCCCTCCTCCGAGGCAGCCAAAAAAGCTGCTCCGCTCTTTGCTTCGGGGGACGCGTTTCAGCTGATCCGCAAAGAGCCCAAAGATCCCTCGCTCCTTTGGGGAACTCGCACCGGGCGAACAGGCTGGGCAAAAGGATCAGCCCTTTCAATGGGGGAGAGGAGCAAGAAACGGCTGTCCACTGGGCCACCAGGCTCTCCGCCGTCGCGCCCGTTTCTGGGCTCCTCTGGGTAGTTAAAGGGAGAGGGACCCCGAGACACTCCATTCAGGAGGAAGAGATTGTAGCCTGAACATGGCACTCCGGGCACACCAGCTACCTGGGATGAAATCACCCCATGGAGCCGGCCAGCACACGGGCCAATACAACAGTATTACAGGATCAAGACCAGGCCCCATTGCGATGGGTGGGGTGTGGAGACAGTTCAGGATGGATCCTGTCCCTAGGCAGGTACTACCCCCCCCCCCCAATGTCCTCTCCCCCACATGTCTCACACCCTGGGCACTTTTGGAGCATCATCAATCTGCTGATTCACACTCCATCCCAGCTCCTGTCCCAAGCCACAAATCAGCTGCTCGGGGCAGTTCAAGCTCTGGGAGGGAGGGGGAGAGGCAGGGCTGGGGCAGATCTGTGGGGCGCCGAAAGCGAGAGGCGCATGTGGGGTCGTGGGGGAGCGCAGGCTGCATGTGGCCTGCTGAGATGGAGAGCCGCTTATGCAGCCTCCTTCCTCATCTCGTGGACCCCTCGCTGCGACACGGCAGAGACCCGGAGAGGGCAAGGGACTCAGCTAAGGTCCCAGCCACTCAGCAGCAAAAAGTAGGAACCGAATCCAGCCCTCCCCCGCAACACGCCCAGTGCTGGCCTCTGCCCAAGGGACAACGTCACCCACAGCAAGAGAAGAGGAAAGAGCTGCAATGCTGGAAGGGCTCCAAAACTAGGCTTTGGGATGCACAATACACAGGTATCGCCCCGCAGACCCAGAGTTACAATCCCACCAGAGCTGTGAGCACTGAACATGCAAAATCACAGCCACACGCACAGGCCGTTTGAACCCCTGGCAGCGCTCACTCTAATTTTTTCCACCCATGTGTGGAATACATTTTTATGTGCACTGAGACATGTGCACCACCCTTTGAAACACACTAATCAGCTGGGCGGCACTGGGATCTCTCCTGGGTAGCTGCCCTGCTTACAGGGAACACTGGCCCATCTGCTCCCAGGAACACTGAACATACATTTAGAAATACTTTAAACACTCAGCCCTAGAACTGCAGGAAGCATGAAGCCTTTGGAGCCCCAATGCACCTGTTGGAAGCTGAGGGAAACAGACTCCCCCTCACCCCTTTATAGACAGCTCCAGAGATCAGTTCAACAATCGAACTCACCGCACTTGCTCCTCCGCTCAGGACCTTCCACCCACCCCCATTCTCCTTCCTCACCTAGTTTGGAAGCCTCCAAAAGGCAGAGTTTAAAACAATCAGAAAAGTTTTTCTTCACTCAGCACACAGTCAACCTGTGGAACTCCTTGCCAGAGGATGTGGTGAAGGCTAGAACTTTAACAGGGTTCAAAAAAAAAGAGCTAGACAGATTCATGGAGGTTAGGTCCATCAATGGCTATTAGCCAGGATGGGTAGGAATGGTGTCCCTAGCCTGTTTGTCTGGAGAGGGGTGACAGGGGAGGGATCACTTGACAATTTCCCTGTTCTGATCACTCCCTCTGGGGAATCTGGCATTGGCCATTGTTGGCAGACAGGACACTGAGCTGGATAGACCTTTGATCTCACCCCGTATGGCCGTTCTTAGAAGCTTGACAATGCAGGACCTCAGCAGAGACCAACAGCAGCGACAAGAGTAGACAAGGATGTGAAGCACCAAGGAGCAGTTCTACTGAGCCAGCGTCACTTGCTCACACGGGCCTCGTTCGGTAGGTCACGGCATCTCAAGAAGAGACAGTCCCCCACTCTAGCGTCCCAAAACCTGAAGCCAAGTCAAGTTCCTCCGGGCAACTGCTGACCCATTTAGCCCAACGTGACACACGCCCTGCTGACAGCAGCAGCTTTGCCTAAGCAGCGGAACCTGTTTCTATCCCAACCCCAAGCAGACTGTTCAGGCAGCCTTGCCAGCCGATCTCCAGTCGGCTTTTATCCTAAAGACCCAGGCTGCGTTTAGACTGGCAAGTTTTTCCCGCAAATGCGCAAAAACTTGCCAGCTGTCTATACTGGCCACTTGATTTTGCGCAAAAGCACTGACGTTCTACTGTCCGAAATCAGTGCTTTTTGCGCAAATGCTTTGACATTCCCTTTTGGGCAAAAGCCCTTTTCTGGAAATCTTTTTGCGCAAGAGGGCCAGCGTAGACAGCTAAAAACTGTCTTGCACAAGAAAGCCCCGATGGTGAAAATGGTGATTGGGGCTTTCTTGCGCAAAAGCGTCCGTGCCAATCTAGACGCTCTTTTCCGCAAATGCTTTTAATGGAAAAACTTTTCCGTTAAAAGCATTTGCGGAAAATCATGCCAGTCTAGATGCAGCCTCAGTGTCTGGAGGTAGGGGTGGTGATTTTTGGATGTGGGCAGCTGGCGACGTTGCGCTTGCCAAGATGAAATGCCCTTCGCCTCCAATACAGCGTTTGCCCATGATTCTATCACAGGCGTCAAGATGAATGAAAGAAAAAAATACCCTGAGTAGTCCGGTAGCACCGTAGAGACTAACAAATTACATATCGGATCACGGGGAAAACCCACTTCCTCAGATGAGTGCAGAAAAAGAGGGAGAAACCTCCCACTGTATGATGGAAAAAGGAAGAGATGGGAGAAAAAGGTAACTGTCACTTGTAGTGCGGGTGCTAATGAGGCTAATTGAGTGGGCTGGGTCTCATACTTAGCTTTTGATGTCATTTGGGTGTTGAATATAATGGCCCATCGAGTTCATGTCTTTGATCAAGCCATGAGAGATGGTGTCAAATCTGCATATGAAGGCCAGTTCCACGCTCACTCTCTAGTTGGTTTCTGAAATTCCTTTGGAAGAAGACTGGCTACTTTTAAATCCACGAGTGAGTGCCCAGGCAGGTTAAAATGTTCCCCTGCAGGTTCGTGTGCTCCCATTGCTGAGATCTGATTTGTGGCTGTTTAACCTTTGTCGTAGAGACTGCCCTGTTTGGCTAATAGGTCAACGGATGTGAAAGATTAACCAGTGACCCAGTTAACGGGTAATGTTCACTGGTTCTGGTTAACTGGCAACCAGTGGGGGCTGGGGCAGCCTCCCACCTGACGCAGGCAGGGGCTGCTCTCCTTTAATGTTTAACCCGTGAACTGATTAACCCAGATTTCGCATCCCGAGAATGAACTTTCCGCCTGATCTTGCTCCTGAGGAAGCCACTGGCTAGAACTGGCCCAGCGGGAGGGGAACCCTCTTGCCCATCCAGTAGCCTCATACGGGTTTCAGCCGTTCCATCCCCCTGGAACAGAACCCAGCTGTCTGGACGCCAGAGAGAACGGAGACACAGCAAAGGCGCCAAGCATGCTCCTTTGAGCTGTGCCGGCACGAGGCGCTGCTGTTTTGGTTTACTCCCACGACTCCCAACCCTACGTTTTCAGAGATTTGGCAATTTGCCGTTTTCCTGGAGTGCCGCAGGCACAGCTGGAACGAGAAAAGGCAAATCGAGGCAGCTTCTGAACATGCCTCAGACAGCTCAGCAATATCCATGTTTGAGAAGAGACTTTTTTTTAAAAAAAGGCCTCGTAGTCTTAGACTGGGCTACAAAAGCGAGCCCTGTACAGTTAAACCTGCTGCGGAGCATCACTCTGTAACAAATCAGAATCTCTGCAGCCATCTCATTACTGATTACAGGAGGCAGACAGTTGTAGCTTATCCCTTTTGGCTTATTTTTCTAGCCCACCGAGCGTTCTTGGTTTTTCCTTCCACATCTGCCTTGTACTAAATTAGAGCTGAAAAATGAGTAAAGGAAGAGAGCGTGAAAGGCTATGTCTACACTGGCGCAATCTTGCGCCAGAAATATGCATATGAGGCTAAGCGTGGAATATCGTCAGCCTCATTGGCATATCTAATGAGCCGCCATTTCTGCAGAAGAGGCTCTTGTACCAGAAGGAGCTGTCTACACTGCCCTTTCTTGAGCAAGAAAAGCCTCTTGCGCAATGCCGCCACGCTGATTAATTTCAGGAATAACGGCAATGCGCAAGAGGGGTTCTGTGTTGAAGGGCATTTTGGCAGGTAGGAAATTGGTCATGTTATACAGAGTATGGATATTTGCTGGGTACTAAGGGAGAAGCAGAGTTTGATGCAAAATTTCTTTACGAGAGAGGTCACGAATCCATTCCTGCGACATTATTATGTTATTAGGGATCAGAAAGGAAATTTCTTTATATTCTGAATCCACTAATTGCCTGTGTTGGGTTCTAGATTCCCTATTTCTTCTCCATCAGGAATAGACCACAAGACCTACTGCTTACAGCAACTGAGATGCTAACGTTCTGGCCGTACCAACTGTACGGTCCTCAGAATTTCAATACGACTTATGCTCCTATTCGGGTTTTTCCCCCCACAGGGACCAATACAGCTCCCACAAAAATCTGGGAAGGGCCCATCACATCCATTCTGCATCTGTAAGAATGTAAGTTACCCCAACACGACTTGGTACTTCCATGTTCAAAGCACTGTACAAACATTAACGTCCTCGCAAACCAGGGATTCCCTAACGAGATCGCGATGCTGCTCTAAAACAGGGCACAATTTTCAAGTTTGACAGCAAATCTAGTCACTAAGTTAGGTTAGGGCCACTCCTACAACTGGATTCCTGTAAAATCCTCTGCTCCTTATTTCACTGGGACTGGGGTAACAACTTCACATTGAAATCAGAGCCTCAAAGTAGTCCGGTGGCTGCTTAAGTCAAACTTGGCTGCTGTTTCTAGCATGACAAATAGGTCTGCACTCAAACTCCAGTCATCTGAAGAAGTGGGCTGTGCCCACGAAAGCTCATGACACCATCTACATGTTGCTTAGTCTATAAAGTGCTCCCAGATCATTTGTTGTTTTTTAAGTCCTATGCTGGGCTATCCCCCGAAAGTTGCCCAATAAAACTAAGCATTGTGGCTGTGGGTTGTACAGATCAATAAAGTGCAGTTAGGACCCAGTTTTCCAGACCCATTCCCAGCCTATGTCCCGCAGGAAGGCCAGGAGGAGCAGACTACAGGCAGTTCCCGGGTTACATGGATCCGACTTACATCGGATCCCTACTTACAACCCCGCACTAGCTGCTTCCCCCCAGCAGACCAGGGAGACGCGGAGCGGCTTTTCTCAGCAGACACCTCAGCTTGAGAATAAAGGACTGAGGGAAGTGAGGTGTGGGAGAGTAAAACTGAGCTCTGGAGAAATGTTTGGCTAGAATTTCCCCTACAATATGTACCAGTTCCGACTTACATACAAATTCAACTTAAGAACAAACCTACAGTCCCGATCTTGTACGTAACCCGGGGACTGACTGTAGAAGCAAGGGCGAAGCGCTCCCTGCAGTCAGTGCGGGGGGCGGGTTGTAGGTTCCCCCATGGGACTAGCCCCAAGACGGCCCGGCGGGGAGCAAGGCGGCCAGGGCTCCGACCTGTAACCCCCTGGCGCACGTTTAGCCAGGAGAGGGGCTTCCCCTCCTGCAAGGTCATTTCCAGCCCAACCCCGGGGCGCTGACTGTAGAAGCAAGGGCGAAGCGCTCCCTGCAGTCAGTGCGGGGGGCGGGTTGTAGGTTCCCCCATGGGACTAGCCCCAAGACGGCCCGGCGGGGAGCAAGGCGGCCAGGGCTCCGACCTGTAACCCCCTGGCGCACGTTTAGCCAGGAGAGGGGCTTCCCCTCCTGCAAGGTCATTTCCAGCCCAACCCCGGGGCGGTGCCAGGCTCAGCGCAGCCAGAGGGGGACGCGCCCGGCCCCAAAGCGAGAGGAGCGCAGCCCGGCCGCGGAGGG